ATCCTAGTCGGCCCATGAAACTATCTATGTTTCCCTATGGCGGCTTACCTATACGTAAATTGTAATCCAAAATTAACTATAACTTAAAAATATTCAATAATTAAATCAAGTAAATAAGTTAAAATCTAATTAAGTAAAATAACCTAATGAAAAACCAATTAAACAATTAAATACACTTAAACAAATAATTCCAAGTAAATAATTAATTAAAAATAACTTAATTTAATCACCACAATAAAACCATGAAATAGTTAATCAAGTAAAAATGCAATTAAATCAAAAATGAAATACCAGAAATAACCTTGTAAAATTAGGGGTATTACACATAAGCTATACATACTTTAAATCATTAAGCTCTAATTTAAATATTTAGAATCTACATCTAAATGTAATCCTACACATGATACAAGTGCTATACATGTTTTAAATCATTAAACTCTAATTTAAATACATAGAATCTACATCTAAATATAATCCTACACATGAGACAAGTGTTATACATGCTTAAAACCATTAAACCTAAGGTTAAGCATATAGAATCTACATCTAATGTAATCCTACACATGATATAAACATGTATACAATATATATTAAACTACAAAAACATATAAAACACTTAGAATATAAATATACAACAGCCCCTACCTCACAAGAGGATTGTTCCTCTTGAATCCAAAGCAAACTTAGGAATTTCAAGAAACTGGTCTAGGGTTTTGTAGAGGATGATGAGGGGAAGCTTTTGTTTCCCAAAGGTTTAGCTCAAAAGTGAGTGGAAGAGGGTCAAAAGTGAGCTTACAAGTCTAGGGTTTTAAGGTCTAACAATGGAGGCAAGAGAGGTTAGAGATAAAGAGATGAGATGAAAATGAGTGAGTGGAGGATCTTGTATTCCTCCACTCACTAGGTGATCTAGCACTATCTCTCTAACACACACACTTTGGCTATTTGCAAAGAAAGTCCCTCTTCCAAAAATAAATTGTTTAAAAATCATTCCTCTAAAAATAATCCCAAAATATTCCAAGATAATTGCAAAAAGACCCCTCTTCCAAAATATCTTGCAAATTAAATTGTAAAATGGTTCCTAAGACGAAAAATAATTACAAAATTTAATTACAGAAAAACCCCAAAAGAGAAAATGTTTCTTAAGAAACGATGCATTCATGCCCTTTACGGAAAAGTAAACAAGTGGCATGCTTTTTTTAAAAAATAAAACTATGCGTTTCATGGAAATTAAATGTAATGGATGCATGCAAATCCGGGATCAAATCCAAGTACAAAAAGTGAGGTTACGCGAAAAGAACAATAAATAGGAAAAAGACGAAAAAGAAAAATACCTGAAAAAGTGAGAATATGAAACGGTCCTCACAAGGACATCACAAAATCAAGAAAGAGCAGCGTCAGAAACTATTTTCAAACATTCAACATGACCCAAAGGAACAAAACCCGGAAAAATGGAAAATTCGTAAAAATAGAAAAAAGAAAATCCGTATAAAAAAATAAATAAATAAATAAATAGGGAGGGAAAGGAAGGAAAATGACCGGGTCATTACATGTGATACATGTCAAGTTGAAAGGTATTTCTAGAAGTTCTTGTAGAATTTTGTTCATAAGGATGAGCAATGTCTCTACTACCAACACGTGGCTTTGTGGTCCTTGAGAGTGTAGGTGGTGACAGTATTGCATTTTTGTGTGCTCAAGTCTACACAAAGTTTCTAATGTGTGTTGTAAAATTAGAGTGCACTTGAAGACAAAGTGTGTGTAGTGCTAAAGGCATTATAGACATTTCTTCACTTAGAATGTTAGGGTATTTCCTGTCTAATGATTGGAGGATATCATTACACTTATCTACAATTATCTTATCCAAGGTTAGTAAGTGTATATGGGTAATTGTCAACCACATTGCCTTGGCTATAGCCTTCTATAATTTTTCACTTTTTAGATAAGTAGGTCGAGGGTTTAAGTTTTCGTAGAGGTATGTGAGTGATGTATTATTTGTGACAAAGAAAATAAAAAGAAAGGAAAAGAAAATTTGGCAAATTATAGCCAAAATGAAAAAGGTAGTATAAATTTATATAAGGGCAAAATACATTGACTCCCCGAGGTTGGGCCTAATTACTCATGAGTGAAAAGTTTAAAAAAAATTACACTCAACTTTGGAGCAGTTTGAAAAAAGTTACACTCAACTTTGGAGCGTGACAGCAAAAGTCCCTCTTTCTGCTTAAATTCATGTTATGTTAGTTTTGTCAAAAACAAAATTGAGTGTACCAAACAAAATACCCTTGATAATGCTGCTTTATCAACTATTTAAAATGACTTTATTACCTCATAAATGGTATGAAATCATTCACACACACAAAAAATAAAAAATAAAAATAAAAATAAATAATAACAATAATAATAAAAATTAGTCACATCTATGCCGTGACTTTTTTACCACATAAATGGTGTGACTCCACCACGAACATTAGTCAGATCCGTAACTTATCCTTCAATATTCTTTTGTGGAACTCAAAACCCCATCCACAGACTCATTTAGAGCATCCCACCGCGCACACAATTTGGATAATACGCAACTCTGTAGCGAATGAATTGGTTTGTTGTGCCCATTATACACTTGTGGACCCCACTAAAATTTTTACGCTTCATACTCCAAATCTGTATATCGTAGTAGCGACTGACATTGTCTGAAAGTAGGCCTTGTGTTTGATTATTAATTTTAAATGGAAGAGTGATTGCATATGTTATGTATTTATTTAAGTTTTATTGTATATTCGTGATTAATTGTAATGTCTATTTTTTTTTTTACACATGGAAAAGTATCAATATATATTTTTTCTTGAATTATATTATTTTATTTTATTTGTAGGAAGTTATGTAATACACTTTCTATTTATGTATGTAATATTATTGTTTTTAAAATTTTTCTATTTTTTTTAAAATTTCAAAACATATAAGAAGCAAAGAATTATAGCCATTATAAATATAATTGTTGAGAATAGTTGCAAAAAACAAACAAACAATTGAAAAAAGAAGAAGGAAGATATGGATTAGAAGCATAGAAGAAGTATGCATCTCATATTCTTACTTAAAAGTGTACAACCCCTCCAACAGTCACACATTCATACTTTATTTTTTTCTTAGGGTTGTAACATATTTCACTGACTTATTTTTTCTTATGGTTGTAACATATATGCTTAGGCTCCTAATTTGATTTAATTTTAGCAACTTTACAACTTGTTTTATATTCTTTTACTTAAACTATTATATCTTTGTAAGTCAAAGTTAAGATTGCGGGATTACGGTTTCTGTTACTTTTTTTGTTACTACTATATTTTTTGTATGGTTCATGAAGAAGTTGCATATATGGAAGAGAGAGAATAAGATAGAGCAAGAAGATATGAATAATTTTTGTTTTATTTTGATTAAGTAAATATATAAGTTGTGAATCATGTACTTCTTTAAAATTTGTATGTAGTTAATTTTTGTATAAGGATTTGGAATTGGTTTTATATATATATATATATATATATATATATATATATATATATGATGTTATTGGCAAGTTGTAAATTATTTTGGTTATAATGCTATTTTTTATTTATTTAGGGTTTACTTCTGGGGTCCTTGCAAGGCTAGTACTAGGGAAAAAATAGGCCCCGTAGAAGGTACACTATTTTATTTAAAAAAAATTATATAACACTTTCAATCACGATTTTGCACGATGGTAGATCTTTCTACCACAGGTTCTGCACCGTGGTAGAAAGTAAAGTCTTGACTTACTACCATGGCTGTTTCTACCACGGTTCAAAATTGTGGTAGAAAACGTTTTCCACTGTAATAAAAAACTGTTTTTCTTGTAGTGATTTGGCCCATTCTGCTAGCCAAAACAGGCTTCCGCGAGCCCGCTGCAGATGGCCTAACACTAAGGATATTTCGAAGAACTTGCTGAGATGATGACTTAGCTAAATAATTTTTGTATTTTCATAATGTGCATCTTTTTGAAGAAATTATTTTTAATTAAGATTTATTACTTAGAGAATAATATTTAATTTTTATATTTGACTTTCACAGTCCCCATTTTTCCATTTACTGAAAAAAAAAAAAAAAAAAAAAAAAAAAATTTCATTTTTGTTGCGGCTGAGCTACTAGAGTGGCTTCGTGCGGAATTACTGAATTCAAAGGCCAAGTACATAAAGCCAAAAACAATTTGAAGAATTTAAGATTCTAGAATGCGAGTGTATAAAAAACAATAAAGGAAAGAAAATCACACAATGAGTCAAAACACATGCGAGTTAGTTTGAATTTATAAAAAACAATAAAGGAAAGAATACATAAAGCCAAAAACAGTTTGAAAAAAAACACTCCATGTGTTTTACTTGTTAGTTTGAATTTGTTTCACACAATTGGCGAGTTAATTTTTTTTTGTAATCAAATTGAATATTGTAATATAATTTTATAATGAAATTTGATGTTTTATTCGACGTTGTGTCAATTTTTGTGTTGAAATGAATATTATTTTGGTCACAATATAGTGTCTATAGATAAAAATTCCGGTCTTCATAGCCTTGAAGCTTCTATTGGAAGACCTTTGAAAGACCGATTTGTTGTCATTTGTTTTGAAAATTTATTGTATTAATAGTTAATAAATTATTGAATTTATCTCTAATGGGTTCACAATGATTTAATAGTTTATTTTTTTTATGGGTTAAATACAAAGAGGTTAAATACATATTATTATAAAAATTAATACATGACTTTTTAAATGAGATACTTATTTTAGAACATATAAAAATGAGAAGGTGAGAATTTATTTTGAAATTGAGTGAGTAATATATTGTTAACTTAACGTATCGTGAAATTAAATACCCAATCAATAGTATAGTTGAGATCGGATTTGTTGACAGTTTAGTGGCAAATGAGTTGCTTTCTGTTGGGCTTTGGTTTCGTTGTTGGTTGGTTTGACTTGTTGGTGTATTTATTGTTCTGGTGTACATTTTCTCATTTACAACATTATCTTGCTTCAGAAAAATACAGTCCTCCCTCCACTCTCTCCCCCTCGTTCCCTCAAACACACACACCCATGGAGGATGCCATAGTTCTATATCCTTCTCCGGCCATTGGCCACCTGATCTCCATGGTGGAGCTGGGAAAGCTCATACTCACCCACCACCCTTCCTTCTCCATCCAAATCCTCATCGTCACCGCACCTTACAACACTGGCTCCACCGCTCCTTACATCAACCGGGTATCCGCTACCATTCCCGCCATCACTTTCCACCACCTCCCCACCGTCTCTCTCCCTCTCCAATCCGACTCTCCTCACTACGAAACTCTTGCTTTCGATTTCCTCCGCCTCAACAACCCTCATGTCCACCAAGCCCTCATATCCATATCCCAGAATTCCACCGTCCACGCCCTCATCATAGACGGGTTCTGTACCCCAGCTATGACTGTTGCAGCAGACCTCAAAATCCCTGCTTACTATTTCCACACTTCTGGTGCCTATTGGCTTGCTACCTTCCTTTATCTACCCACAATTCATCGAAACACAACCAAAAGTTTCAAAGATCTCAACAACACTTATCTTGACATCCCAGGTGTGCCACCAATACTAGCCACCGACATGCCAAACCCAATACTCGATCGAACTGACAAGGCCTACCAAAGAGTGCTGAATATATCTATCCACTATCCAAAATCAGCAGGAATCATCGTAAACACATTTCAATCACTTGAGGCAAGAGCTGTCAAAACAATATCAGAAGGTCTTTGTGTTCCTGACCAACCGACACCACCACTTTATTGCATAGGACCTTTGATTGCAACCCATCATGGAACTGGTGGCGGCGATGGCGGCACGCATGAGTGTTTGATGTGGCTCGATTCCCAACCGAGCCGAAGCGTAGTTTTTCTTTGTTTTGGTAGCTTAGGTTTGCTTTCAGAAGAGCAGCTGAAGGAGATTGCAGTTGGGCTGGAGAGAAGTGGGCATAGGTTCATGTGGGTGGTGCGTAGTCCACCTTCGGATCAAAGCAGGAGTTTCTTGGCACCACCCGAGCCGGATTTGGAATCCTTACTTCCTAAAGGCTTCTTGGAGAGGACAAGAGAGAGGGGGCTAGTAGTGAAGTCATGGGCTCCCCAGGTGGCTGTGCTGAGTCATGACTCGGTGGGCGGGTTCGTCACTCACTGCGGGTGGAACTCGGTGTTGGAAGCGGTGTGTGCGGGACAACCCATGGTGGCGTGGCCACTCTATGCGGAGCAGAAGAACAACATGTTGGTGTTGGTGGAGGAACTGAAGCTGGCCTTGCGGATGACCGAGTCGGATGATGGGTTTGTAAGTGCGGCCGAGGTGGAAAAGCGAGTCAGGGAGTTGATGGACTCGGAGGAAGGGAAGTTGATTAGGAACCAAATGGAGACACAGAGAGGGGAGGCTAGGGCTGCAATGAGGAAAGGCGGGTCCTCACGTGTTGCATTGGCCGAGTTGGTTCGGAATTGGAATATGGTGTCAGTTGAGTCAAATTTGATTTGAAGAAGGCAGCCCTAGTCTTTGGCTCTTTGCTTGTTGGTGCGTTTGTTTCTTTATTTTTAAATAATACTCCTATGTTTCAAAGGAATGTTGGTTTTTGGGACATGTTTCCATGTATTATTTTTCTGCAAAGTTATTAATTTATTTTTTTAAGTTTGAACTATTTAATTTAAAATTTTAAATTCTATGAACATATATAAAAAGAAAAAAAAAATGATCAATTATTTTGGACAATCCAAAAAGAAAAAATCAACATTATTTTTGGGACAAAATAACCAATAATTCCTTGTGGGAAATTTCGTACCCACTAGAAATAATCATTTGATACAGTATAAACAATAGCGTTGCTCAATAATATATTGATAACTAGCTTAAAGCTAATGATCAATGCCATCGTCTGATGTCCTCCCTGAAAGTTTAGTGCATCAGCCTAATCTTCATGTTGGTGGATGGACGGTCCCAGATGAGGGTCGCTTTAAACTTAATGTGGACGCTTCTTTTTTGAGTCTTCATCTCCAAGATGTGGAGGGGCTTTATCCCTTCGTGATCACAAGGGCTTTCTTGTGAAGGTTGCTTCCATTTTTCTTTTGAATGTTGGAAGTGCAGAGCTTGCTGAAGCTTTGATTGCTAGGTCCTGTAATAAGGTGGCTCACCAAATCAGTTAATGGGCGTTAGTCAAAAGAGTATTAGTGATCTGCAATGGCAGATTTGGCCTCAATGGCTTTTAGATGTATTTTTGGTAGGGCTGTAACTCAGGCCGATTTGGCGAGTTGGAGGTCTAGCTTGAGCTCACAATTCGACATATAACATGTTTAATCTAAGTCCAACCATAATAATTCACCTTCAATCCTAACTAGTCAACTGGAACCCAACTCATCATTCTAGATTTGAACTTGAGTTTTAACACGGGCTTAGATTTTGTATTCGAAAGTCGGATTAGTTCGGATTACTCATATGGCCAATTTGATTAAATTACAAGTTTTAAAAATAAATTTTTAATAATTTAATAACAAATGCTTACAATAAATTAAGATTTAACGAGGGAAGTTGAAAAGAAAGATGTGATCATAATTTGAAGACTATATATATTGTATTTAAAGTTAAAAATATATATATACAAATAATATTAAAATTTGGGTTCAGGTTTGCTCGGATTGTTAGAACCTCAACCTAATTCTAACCTTAATTAAGTTCAAGTTAAAAAATTTTAACCCAAATTCTAATTAAAAAAATAATTACCCAAACCCTTAATAAATCGGGCTGAGTCGAGATGCCCAACTCAAATTGTACTCCAATATTTTGGAGGACTTCCTGACCTCTCTTTGTTCATAATGAAGATTCTGTTTTGAAAAAATAAATAAAGAAAGAAGAAGGAGTCTAAGAATTTGTGATTCCATGATACTAACAACGTAGGCACTATCTATTATTCTTTCGTTTACCGCTCACAAAGGATCGAATTTTTATTCAAATTTGGTTCCAATTCAATCTCATAACTTAAAAAATGAATTGAATATTTAATTAATTAATTTAAATTTGATAATTTATTAAATTAACAAATTATATATATATGTATGTATATATAAAAGTGAAAAAACCAATTTACAAAAATAAAATCAAGGACTTGTAGTCTGATTGCACTGCTTCACATTCTAAGATAAAAGTGAGAGTGTGAATATATTTTTTTATATAAATATATTTGCCTCTACTTTTTCTTTTGTCTCTCTCTAACTCTCAACCGCCCCTTCACTTTTTCTCTCTCTCTCTGTGTTTGCTCCCCACCCCATCCCATGGGATGGGGAAGTGTTGATCCTTGCCTCCCGCCACTTAATAAATTCGGCGTATTGTAATTAGTAGCTCGGTGGGTGGGTTTTTATGCCATTTTATTGTTATTTTGTAAGATCTACTCCTGTACTTGTTTCTTACTTGATGGGGGTAGATCTACCTTTTGTCTCCAGCTAGATCTCCGATCTATGTCAGGTTTTGTTGTCCCCGCCTCTGTCTGTGTGAGTTTTGTGGTCCCCATCCCCACCTTTATGTGGGTTTTGTTTTCCCAGCCTCTGGTGGGGTTTTTTTTACCGTCGACGGTGCCTGGTGGATGCAGCCTTGGAGCAATTGCCTTGACGATAGCCTAACCTATGGGTCACTCCTGTTGTTGCTTTTTTCCCTTGCGATTTCCACTATTGCGTTCTTTCTCAGCAAATTTGGTTCATGTTTTTCCGTTTTTCTTCTATATATATATTTGAAACCGTTTTTGGTACCGGATCGCAACCCTATTTGTTGGCTCTTTGTTTGTTGGTTTTTTTAAAAAAATAAAAAGTGTTAATATTTTTGACCAATAATTCCTTGTCGGAAATTTCTGGAACCACCGAAACTAAGGGGTAGTTACACTTACCTCCCCTGGGGTTAGGCCTAATTACAGGCGGTACCCCTAGCGTTTAAAAAATTACACTGCCCTCCCTCAAGGTTTGCTCCGTCGTAACACTTAGCCCCCTCCGGTGAAAGTCAACGCCGGTCAATGATGATTTTTGATGACATCAGCACTTTTTAACCCTGTAATACCACATTTGCCCTTACTATATTTGCAAAGACATTTTAACCCTTACTTTTGTTTTAAAATAACTTATATACCTAGAAAAAAAAAAGAAAAAAAAAAGGGGACAAATACTATGTAATATCAGTGTGTGTGTGTGTGTGTGTGTGTATATATATCCTCATCACTACCGAGATCGCCACCGCCCCAACAACGGCTGCTTCATCCTCTGCGCCCACTGTGCCTTCTACCTTTCATCGGCTCCCTCATGGCTACTTAGTATTCCTTTTCGCCGTCCTGCATGCCTCGCCGCCTTCCCCATATTATATATCTACTGGTCTATATATATATATATATATATATAGACACACACATTGGCTCATTCTAGATCTACATATATATACATAGTTGCAAATCGTTGCCGCCATAACAATTGCTGCTGAAATCGATGGAGCCCCTTGCCGCCGGCATCTATGGAAACCCCTCCGCCGATAGAGCAGCTCTCTTCCTCGGCTTTGCCGTCTGCAGCTACACCTTAATCCAAAAACCCCCATAGATCAAGACCTATTCGAGTTCTTCATCGATCTAAACTTCAATCAACCCAATCGACAACATCATCTTCTGCGAAAGCATCAACCCTACAATGATGACCGAGACGAACTTAATGAGCACTAAAAGAGTGATAACTTCAGCGTTGTCAAATCGTAGTCATTTCACAAGTCTCGTAGCTCTCAATTGATTGACGACTTGAACCGCTTCACCAGCGAGAACCAGCCGAGCTCACTACGGTTTTTGAATTCGGATTTGCATCTAATCTGGAGATTTTCCAGGTGCGACTTCGCCGGTGAATATTATGGCAATCACGTCCATGTCGGCGAAGTTGAGGCGGCAGATGTTCATGTTCAGATCTGTGAATTTATGCCGGAGATGGTAGCTCTGCTCTGCCCTGCCCATACATCTATATATCTATACATAAGTTTGACCAGTTGAAACACTTTCTTGGATCCACCAAGTTTTCTTCTTCCTCGGTCTCCTTATTTTAGGTCGTTACCGTTGGCTTCACCTGTGGATGATAGTGTCATGTTGGTTGTCGTTGTAGAAGAGTCCACTAGTGGTGATGATTATGATGGTGGTGGTTGTGTGGTAGTTGTCTGTGTATGTATTCATGGTGTGTGTGATATAAAGGGAAAGTTGAGTGGTAATGATTAATGTAATGGATCGTCAGAGGAAATGGCTACATTGAATAAAATTGATCGCCGAAAAAAATGGTTTCCTTGGTGGGTGGGGGACAGCAGGCGGCGGGGGTTTGTACATGTAGGTGTGTATATGTTACACAAGTATAACTTTATTTGTGGACAATATAGTAATTTCACAGTGTCATGTCATATTAATAAAATATTAGAGGGTGTTTTAGTCATTTAACATGGTCAATGGCCGAAATAAAATGCCGATCAGTTTAGAGAGAGGTCAATGTAATTTTTTAAATGTTAGGAGTATCGCCTGTAATTAGGCCTAACTCCAAAGAAGGTAAGTGTAATTATCCCCCGAAACTAATCAATTGATAGGAACCAGGCGGAGACAAAGAGAGAGGAGGCTAGGGTTGCAATGAGGGAAGACAGGTCCTTACTCCTTACGTGCCGAATTGGAATACGGTGTCAGCTGATCTTGATTGATTTGAATATTTTTTTTTTTGTCGTAATGAACGCAGCCCTAGTTGTTGGTCTTTGTTTTTACTTTTCTTTTAAATAAATAATAATTATTATTATTGACCAATAAATCCTTGCCAGTCATTTCTGGACCCACAAGATCTAATCATTTAAACACAAGTATATTATATGGGTAACTAGCTTAAAGATAATGATCAGTACAACACGATAATAAAAGGGATTTTTACGTAAAACTGACAATGGCAAAAGTGTATTACCATCTGTGAGGGAAGTTTCAATATTTATAAATACATGAATCAATTTTTATTTTAACTTTTTATTAAGCTAAAATTATATTTTCGTCTTTAAAGTTTATTTTATACATAACTTACCTAAAGAACAACCTGTGCAAGTTCTAAAATTTTGTCAAATAACACTTGAGAATTGTTACATTGCACAAGAATTGGAAATTGTTACATTGCACAAGAATTAGGAGACACAACGCGTAGCTTACAACGAAGAATAAAAGAACTTAGGTCAAAAATTATTTTAATACAAAATATTTTAGAAATTAGAAGACAACTATTTTAGTTAAGTTTATGAGTAAAATAGACTTTAATAACTTAGATAACTCTATAAAACGATTAGGAGAAAATCTTGATTATATTAAAGAACAAGTAGTACAGAATTCTAGTCTAAATAATTTAGATAACAAGATAATATTAGTCGCAATTAAAGATATAAATAGTGATATTAAAAATATTTCTGAAAATCAAAAAATAATTATAGACTATTGAAAATCTCTTAAAACCGATATTCAAAAGCTATTACAATAGTTTTATGAGCACTAGTAATCCTGATTATCTAACAGCTTTAGTCAAACTTTATAAAATTGATAAAGAACCAGTAGGACTTACAGTTTCAAAATAGACGTACAAGCAACTAATATACATATTAGACAAAATAACTTTTTAATCCAATTATTAC